TGTTAGCAATTAATAAAATTGGAATAATTATTGAAATATCGCATAATGTTATAGCAATAAGTATGCAATGTTTCTCTAAATATTGTAGCAATATTTTATTTTTTTGCGGCGCATAGAAATATTGCTACAATATTGTAGCAATGTTTTATGAAATATTGCACTTTTTCAAAATAACATTGCTGCAATATTTTGTGCTGTAGGGGATATTATTATATTATAGTTATTTAAGTATTGTATAACTCTATTCCCATAATATTATCTGTGTCAAAGGCAAATAGTATATTTTCTAGGTATTCATATTATTTCGTCCATTCCTTGTACATGTAGTTAATGTAGTATAAATAATTAAGGGAATGCTGGAGCTGTCTATATCACCGATAAAGCTGGCGTTTTTAATGTTTTTGTTCCTAGCTGTCCAATTTCTTCGTAGTAGTTTCACAAAATAAAAATTCTTTTTTCATGATTAAAATATACATGTTAATGTACCTGACGCCGTTGCATTTCGTCTAAATCTGGAAAAAATAAAAAATTACAGATTTTTTTATCCACATTTTACCTTCAACGTTCGTCGCCATACAGAGATAAAAATGGATAAAGAAATCTGTAATTTTTCATTTTTTCCAGTTTTGGACAAAAAATACAACAGCGCCAAGTACATATTAGTATATATATTTTTATCGTGGAAAAGAAATTTTTATTCTGTGAAATTACTACGGACAAAATTAATTAGACAGGAATAAAAACGCTAGCTTTATCGGTAATATAGGCGGCTTCAGCATCTCCTTAATGAGATATCTGGAAATTATATATAAAAGATTAATATAAGATATGATTGCTGCATGTCAAAATTTTCCGAGCAAGGAAATACAACGATTCAGATAAATTTTATTCTCTATCACTATCAAAATGTTTACATTTAAGGGGTTCGTACATTTTGTTTGTCTATGTGTTGCAACAAATGCGACAATACATCTTTTCTAACGATAGCATGCGCTAGTCTAGGATTATGATTTGCTAGTTTGCCTAGAGCAATTGCTGCCAGATGTTGAATGGATGGTATAGTATCAATTAATAAAGGACGTAAGAGATCAATGGCACCTGCTGCTTCCAGACAATCGACGTTGCTTGACTTTGAAGCTAAATCTGCAATGGATTGCACAAAGAGCAATTGCGCCTTCTGATACTGATCGAAAACTACAAATGAGAAAAAAGAAAAACGTTAATAATATATAAAATAAAAATGTATATGTAGGTATATTTATTTAATATAATTTTTATATAAATATTTATTATAATTTTTCACATACAGAGAAATAAAATATTTATCTATACTTATATATATATATTGTTCAGACATTTGATTAAATAAAAAGTAACAATAAGTATATGCGTGTACCTTGTAAGATTGAGCGAGCTGTCATATTAATTTACTAAGAAATATCAAATGTATCATGCATCATTATCATATGATTGACGATTCTACCGCGGAACGACTTTTGACAGCTTTGACTCGTCATCTGTTTAAATGGCTGCGTTCAGCGGAGTCAACAATTCAACATGCAGTTCAGTTGTGAGCGCTCACTATTAAGGCCCGTCTACAATGCACGGAGTAAGAAGTAAGAGTAAGAAATTGACCAATCACAGTCGATTATTCTTCTCACATTCGACTGTGATTGGTCAATTTCTTACTCTTACTTCTTACTCCGTGTATTGTAGACGGGCCTTTATGGGTGTATTCTGTTAGATCATCCAATTAGCATTTTAGATCTGGCAGTGAATTTTGGAACACACCTTAGATGGGAGAGTGAGGGAATAGGTTCGCGTTGCTTGAAATCCCCAAAAATGTTTAGGGGCTCCGCACAATAAAAGGAACAGGGAACAGAGAACAGAGAATTAAGGCCGCGATACAGACTTTTGCATAAAGCACAATGCATAGTGCATAAACGAATCAACTAATCAGAATCTGTCCTTTCCTCCCATTCCATGGAAAAGAAGAATTTCGATTGGTTGATTCCATTATGCACTATGTATTATGCGTTATGCAAAAGCTTGTGTCTGGGCCCTAAAGCGGGGAGCACAGACTCTTGCATAACGCATAACACATGAGGCATAAGAAATTGAACCAACCAGAGTTCTCTATTACGTGGAAGGGAAAGAAACGGAGAACATCGATTGGTACATACATATTCTTATACATTACGTGTTATGCGTTATGCAAGAATCTGTGTTCCCCGCTTATGAATTTCAACCTATCAGAAATCATGTATTGTGGAATACGCAGTGTGTATTCCACAATACATGATTTCTGAGATAGGTTGAAATTCTTATTCTCTGTTCTCTGTTCCTTTTATTGTGCGGAGCCCCTTATACTTAAAAAGTGATCAATATATATTCAGGCAATGAAAAAAAAAAAGAAAGCGAAGATGCTAAGTGCAGAAGTGCAAGCAACGCGAACAGACAGTAATGCTGGATTCACACTGCATCCGATTTGCGTCGTACGACGCTTTGCAACCAATCAGAAAACAGGATTCCAATGATACGAAGCAAAATCCATCGATCGTACTGAATTTTATTGACAAATGTCTACCCTCTAAAATGTAGCAAACTTCAGATGTTAAAGTAAATTACACTTACAACTAGCGTCATCTAAATGTGAGCCGCGGAAACTAATAGTGTTTTCGGCCCGGCCAGGTTTGCACCAACTTGGGTTGCATTAATGGCGTTTTGTGCTCTCCTATTGGTAGAGCGGGTGACGTCAACCAATAGGAAAGATTAATCCAACCACGGTTGGTGCAAACCCGATCGGGCCGAAAATGCTATATGTCTTTGGAATACACCCATAATCGATGGTTAACTCAATCACCACGATTGCCAACGTGAGAACTAAACACAGAAGAGGAAGAGAGAGGAGACGTTACGGCTGCTGATGGCTGCTTTCCATTTGATGACACAAATCGACACAAGTCGACACAAATGTCGTTCTATCCTTCTTGATATTCAGAGAGTGACAAAGATAGAACGACACTTGCGTCGATTTGTGTCGACTGTGTCTCCTAAAAGGAAAGCAGACTATATCTTAAGCTGCTGTTGGCACTTTTGCGAGTGAAGCGGGGTCTACAATAGAAATCGTAGCAGTCGCAGAGTCTTAAGTCGTAGAAAATTAACCAATCACAGTAGAATATGAGAATAATAATCGACTATGATTGGTCAATTTTCTATGACTTAAGACCCTACGACTTCTATTGTAGACCCCGCTTTAATCGTCGATTAATGTAACCAGAAGTTGGTGAAAGAGGTCCTAAACCCTTTCCAGGAATGTGAGTTTGTCCCTAGAAATTGGGTATTGAAAAGAGAGGAAAGTAAAAATGTTGAGTGCAAAAAGTGCAACTCATATCTTTCAAGTGAGGTACGCGATTGGTTGATTCCCTTGTTTTCAAACCATTGTATGTACAAATCCATTTGAAAAGACCCTAAAATATAACTAGATTCGACTAATCAGAATAAAGAGATTTTTATTACTCGTATCCGAAATGGTCGAATCCCATTTAATCTTAACGTAATTTCAATTGTCGATGTAGATACGAGCTTTTTGAATTATTGAAACTTATTCTATTGAACTCTCTCTCTCTCTCTCTCTCTCTCTCTCTCTCTCTCTGTGTGATTACGGCTTGGACTAATATAATAAGTCGTGATTAATGCAGTACATTAAATTTCGAACATGGATGTATTTAGTTTTTCTTTCATCGTATCAAAGCTCGAGTTATATATAGCGTAAAGTTCTAGATTCTAGATATTGCTTCGCGCATCGCAATGATGCGTATGGCGTATGCAATGTCTTCCGCCGCCGCCGCCGTCGCCCGCGTCACGGAGTGACGGCAAGTGACAGACTGTGACAGACTCTCCAAGAGACTCTCGTGTCGCGGTTGCGTGAAGTGAGAACTGTAAATATTGGCAATAAACACGATTTGATTCAGTCTAATAACAAGTATAGACTCTCGTCCGTGTGTTCAAGGTTGAGCGTAGCAATATACTATGCAATACTACTAACTACACGCCGGAGTTGAGCGTGTCGAGAGCTGTCGAGAGCGTGCAATTGGTGTCTGCTGACAGTGCTGATCTAACTGCCTAGTGCTTGTGTTTCACCGTTCGCGCCAATTCGCGCCGTTCGCGGACCCCGACCGGAGTACGTGTATGTATGTTCATATGTACACACGTCGCGCGTCGCTCCTTTCCACGAAGCGTGTGCGATATAAAAACGAACCATGCGTGGCCGTAGTGATGCACTGTCGGAATAGCAATCAACTGCGCAATGGGCGATAGGTGTGGCACGTGAAAAAGAAAAGGAAAGCTCGTCACCGAGTTGTCGCGAGTGATCAGAGAGAACGAGAGAGAGAGAGAGAGGGAGAGAGCGGCGTAGTGCATTCCGGAAGTACCTATGAAGAGATTTCATGAGACATGCGACATTATTTCGTTTTCTCGGTGCAAACCATTCTGAGGAAGATCTCGTGTATGAAGAGATTTCAACACACACACACACACACACGTAGTGATCTTGTAAGCTCTGACGTCTTTTACGCGTACCGCTAGTACAGTCGTGAGCAGAGAGCGCAGGAGAGCGTTCAACGTTCCCTGCGTGCCGTGCCTGCGCCTATGCGTTTCCATTCGTCGCGCGCTCATCTACGTAGTAAGGGCAGTGGAAGGGAGAACAGCGGTGCCGGTAGCGCTGGTTGCTGGTTATTGGGAGGGAAGTGAGGAGGCTTCATGCGAGAGAGTGAGGTTAGCTTGTGTGTGTGCTCGCGCTTTCTCTCTCTCGCTCCCTCTTTCCCTCACGCGCGCGTCAGATCTTACGCGCGCTCACTCTCATCCCAGATTCTTATCTCGCGCGCGCGCGGAACTGTCGCGCTTCTCTCTCTCTCTCTCTCTCTCTATCTATCTATCTATCTCTCTCTCTCTCTCGTGCGCGCTTGTTCACTCGTTTGTGCTTCCTCGCCCGCCCGCCCGCCCGCCCACCGTCGGCAGCCCGCCCGCCCACCGTCGGCTGGCGCGTGCGCGCGCGCATTAACGGAATTTGCGATCGAGCACGCAGGGACCACCGACTAATGTTTAAATGGACGCATCGTCCATTATCACCCAAGTGTCGCGGGATGACGAGTTAGGCGCGTTCAACAGCGAGAAAGGTGCGTATCGCGTAAATATACCCGCGCCATCCCGTCCTCCCTCCATCCCCGCGGTTGCAACGCACTCGGCCAGATGCTGCCGAGATTTTACTCCTCTGCACCTGTTACGGAACTCCGCATCCGCATTTCTCTTCTTGCTTTACGTTGCCTAACTTCAGTCTCCCGTCTTGCCTCCCGTCCCATCCGCGACAACTTCTCGCGTGTCGTTCCCCCTTCTTTCTACTCCTCGAACCATTGATATTGTCATCCCTTGTCATTTTGTCATTTTACATCGCGCCTTCATCGAGCAATATCACGAATTTCCTTATTTTCTTACGCTTTGTCGTGCCCTTTAACCTTTCACATGCCTTTCATGGGAGCAAGCTAATGGCAAGCCGTGAAGACAGCGATAAAAAAAACTCGCTGTAAAAGATTAAATGCAGCACGTTGGTCGCTTCCATGATTGTACATACATGCATACATATGCACAAGATACAATTGCTTATTTTGATCAATTTGACAAGATTGTACGTACACCAAACTATCAATTTGGATTAGACACGGTCTATATACTTTTTTATCGGTAAAATTTGAAAAAATATTTTTGTGCGTGTGTGTGTGGGGGGGGGGTGGAGAAAAAGAGAAAGACATTGTCATCTTTTTAACCAGTTAGGCAACCCTGCAGTTCCACAATTCACGGTTAACCTCTTAACTGAGGTTCAATTCTAAAATTGGAAAGAGACAATGAATAAGTTGAATCTCGGTTATGAGTTAACCGTCAGTTGTGGTACTGGGCTTTAGTCTATAAAAATTTAGCATTGTCACTTTCTAAGATCACAATTTTCATCCCAGTATGTATTCCATATGTATGTACATACAAGTGTGAGAGATAGCAGTCAAAATATTCTATTCAGAATATATATACAGCTTGAGAAAATAATAAATAATTTATATTGTATATATAAACTTATTATATAAACTAAATACTTACATGTTTTTCAAGTGGAATTCTTGCAATAATCAAATGAATTGACTTTATCAAATGAATTGACACATTGGTAATTATTTGTCACCTCTCTTTTCTCTATACTACAGCCCAGTTACCTCGAGAAAATGAAGCAGCTAACAATACTTTGTCGAATAACAAGAAGCCAAGGGGACGTGGGCTCTTACGCTCACTGTTCTGTTGCTTTGGAAGAGGCCGTAGTGGTAGTTCAAAGAGCTCCAAGGCGAGTTCTTTACAGGGTGAGGGACGTGGGTCGCCACCACCTGGCACTGGATCTCCAAGATTTCTCCTACCACCAGTTAGGCACCAAGACATGCACAAAAAGTGCATGGTAATAGATTTGGACGAGACCTTGGTGCATAGTTCTTTCAAACCTATCAACAATGCAGACTTTGTTGTTCCTGTAGAAATTGATGGTACGGTACATCAAGTGTACGTCTTAAAGAGGCCTTATGTGGACGAGTTTTTGCAGAGAATGGGTGAATTATATGAATGTGTATTGTTCACTGCAAGCTTAGCTAAGGTAGGTTTATAATAATAAACAATTAATTATCTTGTGAAATAAACAAAATTTTAGTTACAGTATATATTAGTATAATTCAAAATGCTTTTACAATAATTTTGATTTAACGTTTTTATATAGGATTTAGTTTACTGTAAATTTATACACTACTTAAAATATTTATAGACTAGTCAACTAACTTTAAAAATTTATAGATGTCAAAATAAAATATATTATATAGAACTGATTTATAATCTGTAGACTTGAAAAAATAAAGAAAATAAAATCGTATCAAATTATTTTATATATTTGTAGTACGCCGATCCAGTGGCAGATTTGTTAGATCGGTGGGGGGTATTCAGAGCAAGGTTATTCAGAGAGTCCTGTGTGTTCCATAGAGGAAATTATGTTAAGGATTTGAACAAATTAGGACGGGATTTGCAGCAAATCATTATTGTAGATAATAGTCCTGCCAGTTACATTTTCCATCCAGATAATGCGGTAAGTTATATGTTTATAATGATATTAAAAAAACTAATTTATTTTAGTGTTGAATAAAATTTATATCATTGCTTTTATCTTCGTAATCAAATGAGGTGTTAAATGAATTTTGGATGATTAACACGTTAAACATCACACCAGTCTTAAAAACTGTTTAAAATATTTGATTGACAGAGAACTGCTTTAGAGAACAAAACTGTACTGTACTTTTGTATGACTAACGGACGATTTGTTAGTCGTCCCGGTAATACTTTGCCTTCTCTTTTATCCTTTTGTTTACTTTAGCTCACGCTCCCCATGCGTATATATCTCTAGTTGACAGTGTGTGGCGTAAACGGAAAGTTAAACGAAATAGGCTCGACGTCAGGACGACTAACGAATCGTCAATTACACAAAAGATACGGTATAATTTTGTTTTCTAAAGCAGATCTATCAAATATTTTGAAAAGTTTCTGGGTTTAGCGTGGCATAAATGGAAAGTCCAGGTGTCGGTCCATAGGGACCGGTATGGCGTTTAATAACGTGTTAATAATAAAGGTGATATTTTATTATAGGTTCCAGTAGCATCTTGGTTCGATGACATGACAGACTCCGAGCTATTGGATTTAATCCCCTTCTTCGAAAAGCTCAGCAATGTGGAAAACATCTACACGGTGCTGTGTAATAGCAATCATCCTTACAATCAGATACCGGCGCACGCGGTGCAGAGCAATCAGAGCCTGCCGACTTCAATTTCAATGGCTGCTTCCTAGCCCCACCTGAATCCTGGCAATACAGCCAGTCTTGTTGCTCAATGCACCTTGCGGAGGATTCTGAGGGGACTGCTTCATGTGACCCACTTGCTATGTGGCGAAGGACCTCAAAATGCCCCTCGTTGATATTTGGGAAAACCGCTCTGATCAGCGCAGCCAAATGTCTTATATCTTGAAAAGTGCATCATTTAAGTCACAGCTGCTGATATCCTTCTTCCTGGCGAGCAATGTAACGAAGACTGAATCAGCTTCGAAGCGCGAGTGTTCTTCCATTTTGCACCAAGCATAAAAAAAGATGACCAACTATATCGATCCTGTCTGCATTGGTAGATTGAAAATGTTGTCTGTACTCGACAAAGAACATAGTGAAAGATGGAACCAGGAATCTTCGTCAAGCAGAAAAGTTAATTGATCGCTACAAAAAAGAAAGCGATGGTTAGGGCGACTGCCTATGGTGATTGTATACTGGAAAAATGTTAAGTGTTAAAACAAAAAAGAAAGAAAGAACGAAAGTATGAAGAGAAAAAAGAAGAGAGATCGCTCCGAGTCGTTTGATGGGCCATGCTGTGCATTGTTGCCGTGTAGTTTTTCTATTCGAGTCAAGATACTGCAAACTTTGTTTACTTAGATTCGATTATAGAGAAGACATCAATGCTCCAATTACGTTTATGAATACTTCTGACCCAACTTACAGAAACGTTGAAAAAAAGGAGGGTAACAGTGGCAGGTAGAATTTGAAATATATATTTTATTTGTTAAAAATTTAAGATAGACAAATTTTATTTTAATTGTGTTATTTTAATTATTTAAAATAATGTTGTAAAAAAATCTAAGGCTTATTTTAGAATTTAATATTAAAATATAGCTTTTAAAATGCGTGGATATATAGAAAGATTAAAACAAGATTCATATACTAATATCTAAGCTTTATAAGAAAAATAAAATGTAAAATATAATCCAGGATTCTAAAATTTTGAAAATACAAAAAAGAAATTAGAAATTAGAAATTTTTTTGAAGAAATTAAAATGTTTCAAGTTTTATTCTTTTAAAAATGTTTAAGAATCTTTCAAAAAACTTAAATATGCAAACTTGATCTCAATAAAGTCCAAAAAACTTAAAAATATTTTGAGTAGGGATGCACCGGATCGTAAAGTCATTGGATACCGGATATCGGATATCCGGCATCACATTATTTTCAAATATCCGGTCGAATATCAGGTAGGGCAATTATCCGGCCGGATACTAGATATTTCTTCGGATATCCTGTCAGATATTTGGAAAATGGCTTTCAAAAAAAGAGCAGCAAGGGAAAAATAGCGTAAGAAGTGACGAAATAGCGATAATAATTGCGGAAACAGCGATAATAATTTTCTGTATCTTCCCAACATGAAAAGAAAGATAGGAAAGAGAGATGAATTGTGCAAGAAATTTAGCTAAAAAGAATAAAATTCTACATTAATGACGCAAACTGTACACACAATGTAAAATTTTAAACGGATATTTGGAGACACGGTAGTGTCTCGACGCTAAGACATGGTACATATTACTGGATACTAATGATATGCGGCTATCCGGCCGGATAGTAAAAAAGTGGCGAATACCGAATATTTCCCGGATATCTGATGCATCCCTAATTTTGAGAATATAATTCAAAATGTATATTATCAACAGTAGAATACTACTCGCTTTACACTGCCGAAGAGTAGGAATAACAATTTTCCGCGTATTTTATTAAATAAGTTTTCATTTTTATATTTATAAAGAGTTTGATAAATCACTTGAATCATAAATGTGATAAAAGTGATATATATACCTCACCGACGAGATATTATTAAAGACGGCCGGTCCTGAACAAATTTTCATAACTATCCACAGAGTCCCGGAAGTCTAGAGAATTGAAGAGTGATGGACATTATTTCAACAATTGATATAAATTATTGACATAAATATTTGGATAATACGTTATTAAATTTATAATCTTTTATTATATAAATGCTGCATAAATAAGTTTGCATGGTTATAATATCTTATGTATTGCCACAAAATTACAATTTTTTTTCTCTGCAGTTATCTTCTCTATTGACGATAATCCACGGATGATAACATTAAAGTCACAATTTTAAATAAAAATCGAGTATTATATATGTATTGAGTTTTAAACATGTATGTATATATATATATATATATATATATGCTACGAAGCTAATAAAACATAAAATGATAGTACTATATTATCAGTCTTACTCTTATGCCTGATTGCATCCACGTTACTTTCACTTTAAGTAAACCTTAAAACTCTCTCTATCTCTCCCTCTCGCGACTTTAAAGAGAAAATGTGAGAGTCTCGCTTAAAGTCAAAATAACGTTGGTATAACCGGGTCTTAATCACTTGATCACTTAATACTCGTGTGAATTTCCGTTAAGTGATCGGCCGTTTTTAATAGTATTTCGTCGGTGTTGTATATCTATATATTCAGGGTATTTCCTCTAACTTAATTATTTAAAATATCTTCATTGTTTTTGATACGAAAAAATACCACAGGGGATCTTGTTCGATTTGAAGGGGCACATATTATGAAGAGCAAAAAATTGTCCTCAATATCATTCTTTTTGAGACTCAATCAAGATTCAATCAAGAGAGACAAGATCCCCTGTGGTATTTTCCCGCATCGTCAAAAACAACGGAGAAATTTTAAATCATCAAATTACAGGAAACATCCTCTGTGTGTGTGTGTGTGTGTGTGTGTGTGTGTGTGTGTGTGACGCGCGTGCGTGTGCGTGTGTGCGTGTGTGTGTGTGTGTGTGGTTATATACCCATGTATATACATAGAGGTATACAACACCGACGAAGTATATTATATATATATATATACATACATACATACAGAGTTTCTCAAAATTCGCGCCCGTGAAGTACAAGACGTAATACTTTATGCTAAAAGAAACAACTTTTTCCTTTTGCAAAATGCGTCTGACAAGTAGTTTTTGCAGGAGAGCAGATTGAAGTTAACAAATAAGCCCAAAAATTATTTATCGAACACACTTTTGTTAAAGGAAAAAGTTGTTTGTTTTAGCATAAAGTATCATATCTGTACTTTGCGGGTACGAATTTTGAAACACCCTATATATATAAATTGATCCGTTTGACTTTGCGTGGCGTCTTCAAGGTCAGGTCAAGGTCAGATCAATTTTTTTAAATGGAACACCTAATTTTTCATTGCATATTCTTATAGCACATCTCGAGAGCTTTCCAAAACACTATAATAAAATATTTTTTCATGAAAAATTTTTGGAGTTATAAGGCTTGAAAGTTATAGTACCGCCGGCATTAGCATTACGCAAGGTGTCCCGACCGATGGCTAAAACCTCTTGAATGTCGTTCAGAATCATGTCCTGGATAACATTTGTTAAGATCGAAGTCACTGGAGATTGTTTCTTTTATTTTCATTTTTGCACTGAAAATTCATTTTTATATAAAAATGAAAATAAGAGAAACAATCTTCAATGACCTTGATCTTGACAAATGTTATCCAGGACATGATCTTGAACAGCATTCAAGAGGTTTTAGCCGTCTGTCGGATAATTTGCGTAATGCTAATGTCAACTGTACTGTAACTTTCGAGCCTTATAACTCCAAAAATTTTTCATGAAAAAATATTTTATTATAGTGTTTTGGAAAGCTCTCGAGATGTGCTATAAGAATATGCAATGAAAAATTAGGTGTTCCATTTAAAAAAATTGATCTGACCTTGACCTGACTTTGAAAACGCGACGCAAGGTCAAACTGATATGATCAGTAAATAGATCTTTTGGAACCTTACAACTTTTGTCTGAAACACTTTTTTGTAATACTTATATTTTCTATGATATTCCGGTGTCCCGGTACTTTTTTCCCACCCTGTACATATATATATATACATATATATTGTACGCACGCACGCACACGTAGGGTGTTTTTGATCATCCGCAATCAGAACATATTACAAGATTAAGGAAAGAAAACACACTTTGTTCCGAATCAAGCTTAATAATTTGTTGATCCACAGCGTAGTTAATTAATAAATCATTGAAAAAAATTATTTATAACAAGTTTATAATATTATTATTTATAACAAGTTTTCAAAATGCTCTCCATTTTGTTGTATGCGTAACGATGTACATCGCTATGCATACAACGATTATTTCTTACGGAGCCATTTAATAAAATTTTATTTATAAGAATCCGAAGATAGAAATCGAAGAAGGAAGAGATGATGGAAAGGAAGGCCCAGTTACATTCCGCCTTCGCAACTGTAGATGAAGAGATGCTACAGCGAAATACAAACGACATAATTCGCCAAGTCACGTTATATATACAACAAAATGGACAACATTTTGGAAACTTGTTATAATAAGTTATAAACTTTGTATAAATAATTTTACAAAGTGGTTTATTAATAAAAACTACACGGATAAACAAATTATTAGGCTCGATACATTCGGAATAAAACACTTGATCTTGTAGTGTTTCCCGATTGCGGGTGATTAGAAACTACACACATACACCCGCGCGCGCGCGCGCGCGCTCTTGATATCTTTTACTCAACAGAAATAGGTATTTTAAGATTTATTATAAAATCTTTTTCTCTTTCTCTCTCCCTAAATGCAACACATATATTGATGAAATTCTTCAATTGCAGTCATTGAATATGTCACTGTCACACAGATATGTTACATATCTGTAAAACAAATCACGGCTTTCAAAACATTTGTGCACAAATTAAGCATTTCATTAATGTTGCATTTGATTATTGCATCAAGTATTTCCTGCTGCTGGTACACACCTTTTATTTGTAGAATGATCTGTATGTGGCATTTAAAACGGTGACATTGAAATTTTACAGGGTACGTACTAGTATTTTTTTATCAAAAAGTTCGGAGATATCTATGAACATTTCCATTTTTACTTTTACTAGTTCACTATTAAGTAAATAATTGTACTTTTTTCCGATATATTTATTGGAATATAAAATATTTTAATTAGATTATACATATTTCTAAATATATTAATTTTGGCTTTTTTATTCAGCAGCAAAGTTCTTTTTTTATATAGTAAGTAAGAAGTAATGCCTATGTATTAAATTATTCCATGTGAATTTATGTACCACGTTTGTAATCTCTCGAATTGTGCGTCGAACTGATTTTCCGGACTTAGAAACGCAACTGAGTACTACCATAGTAATGTCACAAATTAAACTGATTAGCAATTTAATTGACATCATTTTAAAAATAATATGTTAATGTATTGAAAATCTGTGTGTGTAAATAAATTTATTGCGAAAAATATTATCTCGGCCGGGAGTCGAATCCGAATCTTTGCATTCCTAAGCCTAAGATCACCTAAGCCGAAGTAATATTGTTCGCAATAACTGATATGTAGGAATATCTTTCAGGCAGCGTATAAACAATAATAACCCAATTGTATCAAATTACTAAGTTGCTAACTAATCAGTTTAATTTGTGACGTTACTATGGTAGTTGAGTTCTAAGTTCGGAAAACCAATTCGCGTAATTCGAGAGACTACAAACGTAATATATAAATTCACATTGAATTATTTCA